TAGTTTTAAGCGTTCGTCAATGGGCAGATTCTGCAAAGTTTGGTCCGATGCATTCGGATTCATGGGTCTTGCTGCATTGGTTGCCCTCTGGTAAATCAACTATAAATGGGTAAATCACATTTTTTTATGGGTAAATCAACTACTATAAATAGCCATGTTCAATAGCGAACTGTTAAATTACCAGAGGGTATATCACCCAAACAAAATGTGACATATAAGACACTATCGCTCCTTAAAAAAGTGCACATAGTGGTTTTCTGGACTGAATTCTGAGCAGGTATATGTTTTTAAAATCATATCCCCCATTGAGTTGGACAACTTTCCCACAAAAACTCCGCTTATAGAAGATTTTCCAGCCGTATTGTAGTATTTGGTTACCGGAAGCCATGGCCCAGCTCTAGTTGGATGATTGGTGATCTACCATGTTTACCTATTGAAAATGGTGATTTGCCATGGCAGAAAAACTGCGGGTCTGAGGGTACACCAAATCCGCCAGGAGTCTGCCGTTGGAACTTGGCTTTCTTGTTCAGCACCTTCGCACCTGGGTGGTTGAGGGCGGGCTTCGGGCATCATTTCCAGGGAACGGTTGAAGAAAAATCGTTGAAATATGCTAAAACTACCAAACAAACTCCTAGGACATGGAGTTCGCTGGAAATTATATTTAAAAAAATGATGTTGGAAGCAACAAAACTACAAAAACGGATATATCAGCAACAATGGCTATAAATCCAATTCAATGGGTATGGTTTTCGACTGGCCACAACGGAAACCACAGTGTTTGCTATGAACATCCGAACGAACCTCCAGGTCGGGTTGAACACCTTTGTCGTTGGGGCATTACGGATCAATGGATCGGTCCAAGGAAAAATGGTGGTTTCATGTGATGCCATGGAATATCATGAAATGGGATACATATATTGTGTGTATATAGTGTATAATAGTGTATATATATATATGTGTGTGTGTGGAAAGGGAGGCTTGCTCTCTCCCGATTGCAGCGCGCACGTGAAGACATGTTTCTCACAAATGGCAAAACGGAATGGAACTTGTCGTAGTTGGAGAACTTGTTGTCCTTGTTTCTACCATAGTATTGCAGTGGGCTGGAGCCAAAGATGACGGAGTGCCATCATCACAAGCTTCGGTGCAAATGTTGGACCCTATAGAAATGTTTGATCAGTTGTACATCAAAGGTGGTTTACCATGAACATCCATGAACCATGATATAGCTCCAGGAGGTTGTAGCATGTTGTAGCACCAAATGCCTGGTGCGCAGCTCATGTCTGCCAAGCTTCGGTTCAACTTCTTTCGGGTTTCCGCTGCAGTACAATAGTGGCAGTGCTCGCACTGGTCGCCTTTCCGGCACCCATCGGCCTGGCGGAATCTTCCCAGGGACGTGAAATCACCAACTTCCAACGGTGAAATCCCACAAAAACGACCATTTGGGTCAACTGGGCATTGCTTCTTTGGGTCATGTCATTTGGGTCATTTTGGCTGGTGATTTGCTGTGTCTCATGGCATCTCTGAATGATGCATCAGCTGCTCAGAAGGGCATGCAAACCATGGAGATTGACATGATGTGGATCTAACGGGCGAAAAAATCCTTGGGACTTTGAAGCATGGCATAATTATCTGATCTGTGTAAGACTTTGAAGGGTCGATTTTGTACCTCTGGTTGATGGTTCACAAATGCTGAAAACACGAGATAGCCAGATTGTATCAGATTGTGATTGGGTTCATGGTTGAAACAGCAGCCAAAATTCCTCTTGTGGCCTCGCAGAACCGCGCCTTGCGTGTAAAAAACAGACAGGGACGGCATTCACCGCGGATGTGCAAGTCCAACTGGTCCAACTGGTCCAACTGGTCCAACTTCGAAGGCCCTTCACCAGGTTTCACCCACCTGGGGCAATCCAGCCATGCTAAGGGTCACTGCACCAAGGAAAGAAAGACAAGATATCTACAGGGAGTTATGAGTCCTACATGGAATTCGCCACACAGAACTTTCTCCCTTGCCTACCCTTTATCGCACTCCGGAAAACATGCCTTTTTTGAAATTCTGTGTCATGACTTGCTTTTTCAGACCACGGAAAAATGGGAGATCCCAATTTCACCCAGTTCACCTCAGATCTTGTGGCAACTCATGGCCCAGTTCAAAAATCACCCAACCAATCGTCGCTCGCGCCACCCGGGCAGGCATGGTGAAGAAGCGCTACGCGTCAGGACCGGACCTGGTCAGGTGCCCTGAACAACAACAGGGATGGAAGCTCCAACTGGGTTGAACCGGGTTGCGTTGAAGTTTTCCAGATGAAAAACATGTTTTCGGAGGGAACATCTTCAGGAAACCACCATATATATTATAACCATATTTCCATCAAACCTGGAGACCCTCCGGGGCGGATTCTCGAGCAAAATCGCATCAAACCCCGTTGGCTGCTCTTCATCCGAAGAACGGGTCCCATTCAGAAAGGGTCCCTTTGGGAATTTTTGAAACCCTGGAATCTCTGGACCCCAACCCGAAAGAAAACTCAACTACATCTATATCGATGTGAATAAGTACCCAGTTGTTGAATTGTTTGGCTTCGTCCTAGTCCTAGTCGAAATCAAAGACAATAGAAATTCAATAGATGGAAACAGCTTGGAACTAGTAGTCATTCTACTTAGTAAGCCAGGTGCTCACAAGCAGTTTTGGGTTCAGTAGAATATATGGAATGCCTGCTTGTGTATCTACATTGTACTCTCAAAACTACCTCAAACCAAGACTCGCACGTACAGGTGTCCATATAAAATTGTTTAAAGTATATACAATTCACGTCCACTCGTCTAGGCATATCATGTTCGTAGATATATGTATTTACTTAGATTATTACTTAGATTATCTCGTATTGGTGTATTCAACAATTTCACTTTTCATTGATTTAGCTATTCATCTTGTACCCTCTGGTAAACTAACGTAACTATGGACAATCACCATTTTAATGGGTAAATCCACTATAAATGGCAATGTTCAATAGCTATGTTAGTTTACCAGATGGTAGCTATTCATCTTGTACCATGTGCCTATAGTCACCTTGCCCTGGAACGAGAGCCTTGGCCGTGAACGATGACGTCGATGGATCCGTGTTTCAGCGTGATGGTGACACTTTCAGTGCTGGAGACCTGCCGTTTAAACGGGGATGGGTGGAAACCAAAAGAGGGCTATCAGGCTATCACAATACACGGGTTGGTAAATGTCCTAATTGAACATCACCCAAATATTGGGGATATAATCCCCAAATGGGACATTTACCAAACCCTGCAATATGAAGAACAAGTTGAAGAGGTAGTGACGGGCCGCAGTGATGGGCCAATAACTTTTGCAGAGGAATTTACAACTCATACATGATTCACCATACGATTTCTACCCCGGAGTAACCTGATACAGCATTCAAGTGAGCTTCTGGACACTGTTATGAGTGGGGGGTGCATGGCATGCAGAGCTCAGGGTGGGGTGTCCGCACTTGGAAGTGAGACCTGATGGGGCACTCGCATGGTCCTTCAACATCTTACCCTTCAACTATCCACCATTATAGGCTATAGGTCAAAAATGATCAAAACATAATATAGTAATTATGTAATATAAAAAAAATGCTCGGTGACAAGCCAGCTACATGGGTGCTCACAAGGATACAGTACCAGTTGTTTGACCATCCAAAATCCAACTTGTATAAGCCTGCCCAGATCCAACCGGGCATTTCGACCTAGAAACCGATGGGTTTCCTATGAAGCTACCCTTGAACCGATCCAATGAACCGATATGTAGCATGAGATCTGATCGTTTTGGATGGTTAAAAAATCCCACATCTGGCTGGTGAGATTCAAATACCACGGGGTCGGAATCATCACCCAGTCATAAGAGAAATCTACGCTGGTAGGTAACGCCCGCCAATCAACGGTCACACACATACACCAAAACCCCAACACGGTTCTGTGTGTTTAAGAAGGGTTATTTTCTTCGAATTCGTTTTCAGGGTTTGGGCCCCTGTTCTAGAGGGAGTAACGTATTGGTAACTGACGATCATTAGTGCATGTTTGGTCTTCATTGCCATGCTACTTGGTCATATCCCATAATTTTTCACTCACCTGTAAGCTGTTGATCTTATCCCGGTTACTCGGAGGGTATAACGGTGTCCCCAAACATCTACAGTACAAGCAGGCGCAGTGACATTGTGAAAGAGCCCGCACAAGTGGGGGAATGGACAACGGTGGGATGGCATCGGGAGGGGATGGGATTGGCTGGGGGGTGGGGCAATGACGTATGCGCAAGGAATTGGGGGAGAATGACTTATGGTAATTACTTTGCAGCAGCATCATCACCGACACCACCACCACCACCACCACCATCATCATCATCATCATCATCACCATCACCACCACAAATACCAGATCCGCGTTCACAACTGACTTGTTTTCGCGTGTACAACTGAGCTAGTCTTTGCGTGTACGAGTCGTACGACGAGGCCCTCACCTGAACAGCACCTCAACATATTCCAACTTTTCATGGCCATATGGCAGTGTGTCAAAACCTTGTACCCCTGGTGAACATCAAAATAGCTGGTAAATGGATGTTCATCCCATTAAAAATGGTATTAATAGGTATTGATCCATACCCATATGGAGGTTTCCTCAGTGGATCCTCAAGTTACCAGCCGGTCTCAGCCCCATCCATGACTGTCATGACTTGGACCACCTCGAAGGTTCCAAGGACCTCCTGAAACTGTGTCATGGCGACCCTGGCTCGGTGGCATCCCTTTCCCTGGGAAAGGAAACCGAAATTCCATCCAGAAAATGGGAATAACATGGAATAACCATCCATGCACCAGCTATTTTAGGGTACCTAGGCTTACCTGGGGTACTAGGTTTTGACTCATAGCCATGAAAGTAAATACTGTATTTGTGAGAATGTTATCGAATATGTGTATACAATGAATGATATACAATGATAATTATCATGACAAACAACCAGAATATTCCAAACAAAAACGATAATGGTAACTATAAGATGAAAATGAAAATATAATGATAACATCGCAATAAACAGCCCCCCAGAGAAACCTTTGTTTAGTGCTGAATTTGTTTCGTTATTTTGTGGTCCCATTAAACGGGACCCCCAATTTGAATGACATATGCGCATCATTGCGCATCCTTTCGTTGTGTTCAACGAATTTCAATGAACATATTCGAGAAAACATGTTGCTCCGCCTCAAACATAGGAGCTTCCTGTAACATGTCCTACCAAGTTTGGGGTTCCCCTTAAACTTAGCCATCCATTGATATTGGCTATATCTTCCAATATTCTGTACATACATGGTACCTGTGTCCCAAAACTCTGGACCAATTATGAAAACCTGGTGGATTGTTGCCACAACCAGAACTTTGCGCTACTTCTCCTTCTGTGTTCCTGGATTTGGAGGGGGCCCTCTTTCATCTGTGTACAGAGCCTTGACAACTGAAATGAAAGCTGAATGAAAATCAATATCGGTGACTTGGAGCCCTACCAATCACCCCTTTGTTGGTACATCCTGGAAGAATTTAACAAACCCTGGCCCCGGTCAGGCGGTCAACTGGAATCTTCCAGATTCCCAATCATGTCAAGTTGGCAAAAATAAAAGTCTCAGAGTCTCAAAACTCAAAACTTTACTGGCACGGAGATGTCTCAAAATCTGGTCAGTTCTTTCTTTGAATGTGCCAACATCTCGGAAGCCAAAATCAAAAAAAACATCTGTTGAGTCCAATAACAAGCAAAAGCCACCCGGCCTGATGACAAGAACTAAGCGCCGGTGGAGTGCTGTGCGATCGTTTTGGTGCAGACTTCGAGCCACAATGAGATGGTCGTGGTGGCTACCCGGCTACCCGCCGCTAAGCGCTCTGAGATCATCCCCGCTGCAACGATCGATGTTTTCCCGGCGCGACTCCAGCCTTTTTCCCTTTGTTCCTCCAACGCGTTCACAAGTCAATCTGTAAAATCCTGAAAAGGCAATCTGCAGGTCCAACCCAGGGCCGTAGCCCACCAGTACGCCTCCTGTGGGTCTTGAAGTTTGCGAAACAACGCCACAGCGTCTTCACCTAACGTGGGAATGGGTCGTTCAACACCCCCAAAGTGGCTAAATCACCATCATAAACGTGTCTACGTCTGTGCATTTTTAAGGGACGGTCACCAGGAAAGCAAAGTCTGGATCAATTCCACCATACTTTAAGTTTACAATGTCCATGGAATTGCAGGGATGAGCGGCAAGATCTACCATATTCCTGAGGAGTTTGGCACCCACATTCTCACCAGTGAAACCTGGGAACCCCAAATGTGGAGATGCATAGAGTAACCACCGACCAAATACAGAATTTTATACCCAGAACTCTGGGAAATTTCGTCAATCTTGGTATACACATGTATACACAACACCCAGACAAGGGCAGGGCCAAGCTTTCCAAGCTTGGGGGTCGGGGAAAATCCGGTCGTTGCCAAAATGGCGCGTCATAGATGGCTGCGTGGAACACGCCCCTTTTTCATGGGGAAATCGCCTACTTTCATGAGGATGTTCCAGCCAAGTTATTGCAGTTAGAGGACTTACCATTACCAGATTTATTGTTCACTTACTACCTGGGAATCACATGCACTTCTAGTGCTTGGTAGAGAGGGGTTCCCATCACGGATTACTTCACAATCCCGAGGAAACCAGTTTGTGTTACCCCGTCCCATAGTTCTTGGTTAATATCTCCAACCGTTGTAGTGAAATATCACATGGTTGGTGGTCACTTGCAACCACCAATCACATGGGTATCTTAGTCTATGGGGTATGCAATGATATATCACCAAAATTTCTTCAGACATACCCGGGATCCCTGGGGCCCACACCTATATCCACAGCGGCCTTAAAAAATCAGGAGAAAAACCATGGAAAAATGTTATCTATTATTATACACAGGTTACTCTATATATATATTATCCATACACAATGTGTATATATATATACAATATTTGGGGGGTAACCCAAAATCTCCAGCTTTGACATGGAACAACCCATCTTTGGTGCAAAAGGTTGATCAATTCATGGTGTAGCACACCAACCAACCAGGATCATTAAATCTCAACAGGAACTCATCGTTAAAATGTGCTAGTCATCACCTCGGCCGACGCGAAAATGGACACGATTCCGGTCAACCGTTCTTAAGTGTATACATTGCTATGTTTATAAATACATATATATATACATATATATATATTATACGCTATATGATGTATGTACATATACATATATACTGTATATATGTATATATATATTATACACAATGTGTCTGTATATATATATACACAATATATACATATCAGTTATAGTATGTATATATATATATATATATATGTATATACATCACTGCATATAATATATATATATATTGTTATATGGTACTGTATGCTTTAGAATATGTGTGTGTAAATGATATCATCCAGCATATATGTTGTGTTTGATATACATCCATACTGCACGCACATGGATATCCACCCATACACAAATGCATGCATTCAGTAGTGTATGGCTCTTACACAGACACATACGTATGCGCATGTACAGACAAATATATACGTACACAATCTGCAAAACATGCAGCCATATGATGGTTGTTGGCCATATTTCAGGTGTGACAGACAGTAATTTCTTAACCCGGCTAGGGAAAATGCCTCGTGGATAGAATTGTTGCGCGTGTTTTGTCCTGATGGCGGTTTCCCAGCCAGGTTCTCAATTGGCAATTTTGGCATTTTACTATTTAAACAATTTGAACAAGTCATCAATTTCATCATCCAGTACATGCACCAACATATACTATACACATACACAATATGTATATATATATATTTATACACTACATGGATTATATATATATATATGTACTACCAGTATTACCAGTATGTGCATACATACATATATATATATATGTATTACTGGAGGGTGTGGATCTCTGATTAGTCTCTGAGTATGGCAACATCACCCTGGCGACAGCACCAAGTTGCGCGAGCATCGCCTTTGGCCAGGTAGACCGAACAGAGCAGTTGTTTCGCCTGGAAGAGGCGGACGGGGCTGCAGCAAATGATGAACGCAACCCACGTTCAAAAAAAGGTAGGAAACCTGGACAATATATCAAAATATGGGGAAAAACATCATCTACGCCATCCTGGAAACACTCTTCATTTCTATCTTTACGAGCTTTGCCACAGATAATGTTAGACTGTTAGCTGGTCATACTTGATGGTTCACTCCAGTAATTAAGTGGGTTGGTTCACACCAGTAAGCAGAAGTGGGATAAGAAGGGTTCGTCCAGCTATATATAATTAACTGGGGTTACAACCCACTTACTAAGTGGGGTGAATCCTTCAAATTTTGCACTTTTCAAGGATACAATTTAGTACCCAGCTTCCAAATGCGTCCAACACTTTGTTGTGATGATCAAATGTGCATCTAATCCCGGCCGCAAAATCAATGGCTGATTCGCCTTTGTGGCTCAATTAGACATCACTGGCCAAGTCAAGGTTGCTGCTTATAGTCCATCACTGCTACATGACTCACCCTTGTGCTGTCTTTCATCCAACTGGTGTGTCTGTGATTCAAGGGGTGAAAATCCATGATCAGTGGTAGCTTGTAGTGTCTGCAGATTCTTTCTGGTTGTATCCATTCATTGGTTAAGATATCCATGCACTGATTCATTGGTTCTTTGTTCCTTCCCAGGCTATGGCTACACACCCATCTACAGCTTTGTTTTGAAGCCATGGCTGTTGGTTGCTTCATGTTGCGAACCGACATCCCATCTATGACCAAAATGACCAAAGCTAACCCGTCATCAAAATCCATCATCAGTCCAAAACAATGCCATCACCCAACTTTGGTCGTTTCCGTAGTGTTGCTTCGCCAAATGCCTTTTTGGGGGGGACAAACATTTTGGGGTTGGTTGCGTTCACATACACCGGTTGATGGTCTTGATGGTGCACCTCGATTTGTGTCCAAGCTCTATTGATTGGAATCTCCAACGATTGGTACTTAATCACCTTAGTCCCTTCCTCCCATATCAAACAGCCCCTGTAGACATGTTTTTTTTGGGACCATGAGATGGGGGTGATATTAGGATGGAATTGCTCACCTTGTGTCACTTGGTTTCATTGATTTCCCCAGACTGGGAAGCGCGTTTGCAGCCCGCAAGCTCTAGTTTAAGAATTGTAAGATCATCTGGGTCTTATGCTTACCTCATGGCGTTCCTACTATGGTCAAATCATCTGGGTAAATTATAATATTTCACTACCCTGAATTAAGGCCTCGCACCTTGTCATTGCTACCCGACCCCAGCGACCTGAATTAAGGCCATTTGGGGATGATTTCCCTTATTAACCATGATTCCAGGCTTCGGTCGCAGTGAGGTCGTTATAACTTACCCCGAATCATGGCTACTATGTTAAATCATGGTTAAATCAATAAATATTGTTATGATGTTACTATGTTCCATCATCAACATTTTTAACCATCATGGTTAAATCATGGTTAAATCATGGTTAAATGTTTGCTGGTTCCATCTCCGCAATCTCCGCCTTGGCTGCTGCCAAATCTTCCTGCAATTCCTCGTAGATGGCAGCCATGCCTTGCTGGTTTCGTCGCCAGGGACCATCCGTTGCTGGGAAAACCATGGGACTCTGAAGCTGGTTGGTCATCCCCCAGTCGTCATACCCGGAGAATTCATAGGTAACCTGACCCCTCCCCATATTCCACTACACCATAAAGATAATCACACAAAATTACCAGAAATATATAAATAGTTGTCATATCCCATGTTCAGACACACCTACGCCATTAAAAATGGTTGATATGATAACAGGTGATATCCCATTACAAAAAACTCATATATAAATACATACGTAGATATACACATATTATCCCATACCATTGTTAGTTAATGTTCCCCCTTTAAATATCTCCGCCAAAAAAATATCAGCATATGTTGTTGTTTATTGTTGTTTGAGCCATATATATATATTATTGATTAGCAGCAGTTATCCATACATTCTCGTCTTTCCCATTGTCTCGTGGGTTTTTCTCACCATGAGTCGGTCTGGTTATTTGACAGTTCCACTCTGGAAACAGCCCATCTTTGATTGGAAACTCATGGCAACCAACTCCCGGCAGGGTCCATGTTACCCTCTGGTTATGTCAAAATAGCTATTGAAAATGGCCATTGATAGTGAGTTTTCCCATGAAAAATGGTGGATCTTTCCATAGTTATGTTAAATTACCAGAGGGTAATTTACTATTATTCAACACCCCCATCTCAGTCCCCTTAAAATGTGTCAAAAATCCCTTCGAAACAATGGTTTCTGGGGTGTGATGAAAATATTAGGGGGAATGGACTAAATCCCAGTCATTCCAAATAAATACCCATCATCCATGATAATGGTTATATTACATAGTTGTCCACTACAATGATTGAATAATTTATATAATGGTTGCACTGGTTGTCCACATTAAATCCATGACAAAAAGTGATAATGATTTGGAACATTAAAAATCCACATATGAATGGGATATTGATGGAAAAATGATATGATATACAGTATATAAAATGTTATAAATCCTCATGCCTCATATCCCCATCAGTATCCCATTTAAACCACCAATTTATTGGGAAGGGATTGCCCTCGGGAAATCAAACATGGAAAACCTCGCCATGCATCGCCCAATTTTTTATAGATGATGTTCCCATGGAAAACCTCCGTTTGATAAAGGGAAAATACCACGTTTGATTACTGAAGACTTAACCATCAGTCATTATTATATTATATTATGTTGTCAAATCAACCATTAATCAGAGGTATATAAATCCTGTTATTAACCATTAGCTGTTATTAAGTATCATGAACCACCATTAGCCATTATTAACCACCATTAAGTCTTACCCGGGATTGAATCGGGGTTGGAAGAAACTCGGTTCCACTAGTCAAATGGGAAAAAAAATCTCAGCAACAAACTCTTCGTGACGTGATTTTTCCCGAATGCGTAGCAAGGGTTCCCGTTTCACTCTGGGGGTCTGGGGGTTGAGGGTGTGTTCGCTCGACGTTGCGTTTGTGGTCGCAACCGTCCGCAACCGTCCGCAACCGTTCGCAGCCGTTCGCAACCGTCCGCGCGAGGACCGTATGGCCGTGCCTATGGGAAGTTTTACAGAGGTGGTCCTTTTTGGAGGTTTCAGACGTGTCTTTGCTTCGTTTCGCGTGGCAGGCGTGGCACTTCGTGACATTCAGACGTGTTCTGGAACGTGTCGAAAGTCGTTTTGCGTGGCAGGCGCAATACTTTTGCGACGTTTTCGAAGATGTGTTGCAGTTTTCGTGGCAGGCGCAGCACTTTGGACGTGTCCATCGTCATTTTTCGTGGCAGGCGCAGCACTTTAGACGTGTCATGTTGCGTGTTTTTTGCAAATCGCATTGGCAGGGCTGCGTCAAGTGGCGACAAGGTGCAAATTCCGTGGCAGGCGTGGCATTTTCTGACATGTGCTGAAAATTGACGGAAGCCTCGCACGAAACATCGATTTTGAGGTTGCAAATTTTCACGTTCTAAGGAAAACTCGTAGGAAAACGTCGATTTTGAAGCTACAAAGTGTGAAAATTGGAGGAAGTCTCGCACGAAATGCTCGTTTTGGCGCTCCCACGTGTCGCGTCTCGCGTCTCTGGTTTTCCGGTGGCCTCGCCGTGTCTATGGTGGAAGCTGCAAAACTTCTCCTTTTGTCATGTTGCCAACTGTGAAAATTGGAGGAAGCCTCGTACGAAATGATCGTTTTGGTGCTCCCACGTGTCTCGTCTCGAGTCTCTGGTTTTCCTGTGGCTTCGCCGTGTCTATGGGGGAAGCCGCAAAACCTCTCCTTTTCGAAGGTTTCCAAGGAAGTTGTCATGTCGTTTTGCGTGGCAGGCGTGGCACTTTGTGACATTCCAACCTGTTTGATAATGTGTCAAAAATGTCAAAATTGGAGGAAGCCTCGTACGAAATGCTGGTTTTTCTGCATCCACATGTCTTGTCTCGAGTCGCTGGTTTTCCTGTGGCGTCGCCGTGTCTATGGGGGAAGCTGGAAAACATGTCCTTTTCGAATGTTTCCAAGCAGGTTGTCATGTCGTTTTGCGTGGCAGGCGTGGCACTTTGTGACATTCCAACCTGTTTGATGATGTTCACAAAATTTCAAAATTGGAGGAAGTCTCGTAGGAAATGCTGGTTTTTCTGCATCCACATGTCTTGTCTCGAGTCGCTGGTTTTCCTGTGGCGTCGCCGTGTCTATGGGGGAAGCTGGAAAACCTCTCCTATTCGAATGTGTCCAAGCAGGTTGTCATGTCGTTTTGCGTGGCAGGCGTGGCACTTTGTGACATTCCAAACTTGTTTGATAATGTGTTGAAAATGTCAAAATTGGAGGAAGTCTCGCACAAAATACTCATTTTTCTGTACCATGCAACTCGTCTCGAGTCTCTGGTTTTCCTGTGGCGTCGTCGTGTCTATGGGGGAAGCTCCGCACTCTACACTTTACACTCCACACTTTACATTTTGCACTTTACACTCCTCACTCCTCACCTGAGACTTGACACTCCACATTCCACACTTTACACTCCTCACTCACCACTCCACACTTTACACTCCTCACTCCACACTCCACACTTTACACTCCACACTCCTTACTTTACACTCCACACTTCACACTCCACACTTTCCACTCCACACTCCACACTTTACACTTTACACTCCACACTTTACACTCCTCACTCCACACACTACACTCCACACCCCTCCTTTACACTCCACACTCCACACTTTACACTCCACACTCCACACTCTACACACCACACTCTACACTTTCCACTCCACACTCCACACTTTATACTTTACACTCCTCACTCCACAATCCACACTTTACACTCCTCACTTTGCACTCCACACTCCACACTTTACACTCCACATTCCACACTTTACACTCCTCACTTCACACTCCACACTTTACACTCCACACTCACTTTACACTCCACACTTCACACTCCACACTTCACACTCCACACTTTCCACTCCACACTCTACACTCCACACTTTACACTCCACACTCCACACTCTACACACCACACTCTACACTTTCCACTCCACACTCTACACACCACACTCTACACTTTCCACTCCAGACTCCACACTCTACACTGTACGCTCCACACTCCACACTTTACACTCCACACTTTACACTTGACACTCCACACTTTACACTCCTCACTCCACACTCCACACTTTACACTCCACACTTTACACTCCTCACTCCTCACCTGAGACTTGACACTCCACACTCCTTACTTTACACTCCACACTTCACACTCCACACTTTCCACTCCACACTCCACACTTTACACACCTCACTCCACACTTTACACTCCACACTTTACACTCCAAACTCCTTACTTTACACTCCACACTCCACACTTCTACACTTTACACTCTACACTCCACACTCCACACTTTACATTTCACTCCACACTTTACACTTTACACTCCACTCTCACACTTTACACTCCTCACTCCACACTTTACACAACTCCACACTCTACACACTCCACACTCTACACACTTTACACTCCACACTCCACACTCTACAGCCACACTCTACACTTTCCACTCCACACTCCACACGCTACACTCTACACTCCACACTCTACACTTTACACTCTACACTTTACACTCTACACTTCACACTCTACAATTTTCAAACTCCACACTCCTCACTCTCACACTTTACACTCCTCACTTTACACTCTACAATTTACAAACTCCACACTCCTTACTCCACACTTTACACTCCTCACTTTACACTCCACACTCCACACTTTACACTTTACACTCCTCACTTTACACTCCACACTCCACGCTTTACACTCCACACTCCTTACTTCACACTCCACACTCCACACTCTACACTCTACACTTTCCACTCCACCCCGCAGACTGGTAACAAGGGAAACATGCACAAGACTGTTCAAATAAACTATTGCAGAAAGTTATTGTGCGTGACTGCATAACCATGTGTTGTGACATCTGTGCCATTAACATACGTGTGAGCATTCGGGTTCGTGGGCTTCATCTTGTTTTTTTCGGTATCGGGTATCAACCGCTCCACCACCCAGCCAGCCAGAGGGCCCAGAGGGAACTTGTTTCCCTCTCAGTAATCATCAACCATCAATCAGATGGAAAAATTAACAGTAATCAACCATCATTAAGAGTAATCATCAACCATCAATCGACCATGAACATCTGAGCCATTAATCAAAGGGAAGATCATCAACCATTTTCCCTCTTCCCTTTGATCACCAACCACTGTTCATTAATGAACCATTCATTGACCATTAACAATCAATCACGAAAATCTGAACCCAGTTTTGTGTGGGATGGTTGTTCCAACCACTAATGGTTAATGGTTAATTGATGGTAAATCAACCAAGTGGCTGAATCAATTACTAGTGGCTGAACCACTAACATGAATCCATGTTCCACTAATGGTTCACTGACGGTTGATTATTAACCATCAGTTAAAATTGATTATTTGTAACTGAATAACATCAGTTCATCAACCAAGTGGCTTATTTAAGTTATCACTGATGGCTGATGAACTGATTCAATGGAAATTCAGCCAGGAAAATCGCCAGGCAGCTCTTGGCGCAGTCCAGCGCTTCGTGAAAGTCGCGCTTTGCCAAATGAACCTGGCGCGCCCAGCGGGTGGAAATCCCTGGGAAAATCCGTGGGAAAAAGATGGAAAAAACGAAACTAGAAAATGATGAAATCATCTGAAATCAAGGGGAAAATCATCATTTTGGATGCACATTTCCAGACAAATCATAGGGATGTCATGAAATCAATGGGAATATCATATAGAAACCCTGGATTTGGTCGATTCTCCACCAGCTGCTCGTGCCTGGGATGCTGCATCCAGCGCCTGGTGCCGTAAACCCAAGGAAGCTGGACCCACATACCTGAGGTGTTCATGCTAATATCTCCGGGATAACTTGTATACATATGGAATCATCTATTTAAATATATATATATGTATATATATATATATGTATGTATATATATATATTATGTAAGTGAAAACAGGGGGACGACCGGAACAACCCAAAAGAACAAGGGTGACCTAATCCGTCCATAACCCTGTAAAAACGACCAAGCACCTTTTCTAGCAAAGGCACTTGAGCCAAGCGTCGATGGCGCAACAAGTTAAACCCGACCCGGTGGTTGTAGGGAGGGGAAAACTAAAAGGTTACCCATCTCTAACTACGGCTACTCTACCTACCTATAGAACAAGGTAAGTGGTGCCACTCTAGCTATTGAACATACCTAACGCTTCTAGGTATGTTGGGATACTCTGTACAGTATGCCATGCTAGAGATAACGAATTGGATTAATTGGAACTCGTAGCTACATCGAATTATGTTGGTACTCATAGCTACATTCTGCCTACACTAGACCTACCTGCACATGCTATACATGGTGGGGCTCAGGGGTCGATATATTTCAACTCCCCCCTCGCCTGTTCCACACGCACTGCGCATTGGCAGGCACCTACGCATCTACTGTCGCGAGAGCGGAAGCTCACTGCGACCTATGCGTTGGGTATAAGGTCTATGTATTGGCTGTGTCATTAACGGCAGTTACATGCCGGGAAGGTTTCCTAAGTGGGGCGGCTGCCCCCAACCTAAGACCTTCATTATGTTTTGGGCGCTGCCAAGGGAATGTATGTGAGCAGGAGGATGAGGTCCACATATGTGGTGGCGCGGTTTCAGCGGGTTCAGCTGTGTGATTGCCCAACAGTCCGTGCTGCGACTCATTACCTGACTCTATGTTATCCCTACTAAGTCTATCACTTGGAATGCCATTATGTTCACTTACCGGCAACCTCTGGATGTCAGGGGAACAGGCAAACTTGTGCGTGATTGGCTTAGCATTCGCGTTGCAGGCGTTCTTGGCAACTTTCCGATGTCTACGGTTAGTGCGACCAGTTGGTTGGTTAGACCCTGGAAGCGACTCCTGACAAGGGATTGAGGCTGATGAAACAACTTGGGATTGAATTAGTGCGTTTGGAACGCTAGCACTTGAGGGTGACGGGACATCAGGATTGGGAAGCTCCAACTTGGGACCACCTTCATGCATTATCCTATGATGCTCATCGCTATCAAGAGATACATGTGATGGAATTGGGTTATAGAGTTCTTCACCTACCCTGATGGGAGCATAGGGCTCAGCATCCCCGTCACTTTTGACTCTTTGTGTGCTTGCGTTATTTGGTGCTTTCTTTCCCTCTTATGTCGTTTCTTTTCTTCAACCGTATTGATATTTGCGAAGTGGGCGTAGCGTTGGTCGGCAGGATGCCGTGCATGGGGGTTGCAGGTGGCACATCCAGGCGTATCCTCAACAATGAGGATACGATCTAAGAGGGTGTTTATGGGACATCTCCTAAGATCAGGTGTTGAAGGGTCATTATTACCCCCATCTATATGACAGAGAACGTCATCCTCAGTATTATTAGGGGATTTCAAGTCATGCGGGTTACCCCCCCTGAAGAGGGCATGACCACATAACATACCTACCGGGAAGGCGAGATCGCCTTCAAGCACCGAACGCTCTGGGTTGTGCATATTGACTGCTACGCTTTCACTTCTATGCGACTCAACTTTGCCTGTTAGTACCTCCTCACCCTTTTGGGAGCCTTTATCTAGGACAACGCTGCTTGTTGAGAGCTGCTGCTGCTCTGAAGAGTCAACAAAACCGTCGGCTTTGCCGTCATCGGAATGTGAAAACTTCATAGCGTTATCTTTAGTTATATGGCTAATGGGGTAAAACTGGCTATTTGATGAGCTTAATCGCATGTGCTTTGGATTGGTGGCTTGCTGCTTCAAGATTTTATCTTTTGGCGGCTCACCATTACCCAATGGATAACCAGCTCCTAGGTGAACTGGGGAATTGGGTGCGCTGGGGTTTTCAACAGCGACTTTTTGGCATCCCGACGCGCTAGCAAGGCCGGCGGCGTCACCAACAGATTCAGGTGCTAAATCTGTTTCTACATCTTTTGCGGGTGGAAAGAGATTATCTGCAGGGATTGACGAATTACCGGGATTATTGGGATCATCCAATTCTACAAGCGTCTTGGGTCCTACGGATGAAGCTGGCATTGCATTTGGTATGGGAGCGAGGCGCTCTCTTGGTCCAAATGAACATGGGGTCAGTTCTTCATCATATTGTGGGACATATTCTACCACCCTGGATGCACAGATTTTAGCGTTCTTGGGAACTTTTAGCTTGCATCTGTTGATGTTTTCGGGAGCTATTAGATATGGGACGCTCTCCCGTGGATCCCAGATAAACATGTAACCTTTATCTATGACTGCTTTACCTATACTTTGTGCTGGAGGGCATTCCTCAAGAACATAGACCTCTTCACCATCAAGAATCTTACTGCCACTGAAGGTTAGGGATTCTTTGCCAGATTGGCTGCCACCGCCAGTAGCGAAAGCTACGGGGTTTGGGGAGTGCTGTACATTCTCCCGCATGGCTGGTGTGAGGGCTTGGCGTCCAATAAGGTGCCGGCCTGCGGCAGTGTCCCAAAGCCAAGGGATGGCTGTGGAAGCTTTGAAAGGCATAGCGTTGATTACAGGTTTAATCGCGTCAGAGACAGCGATCTCTGGGGTTATCACGGTTGCTACATTAGCATAGGCATTGGGAGGGGCTTTGCCACCTTTACCAACTGCTCTAGGAGGAGGTCCTTGATATCTATTGGTTTCAGAGTGGAGGAATGCGCACGATTTAGCCCTACATACATTGTATGCGAAGAACATGCATGGGGTGTTGGCCTTTTCAGCTGCCGACATCTGGTATGCTTTCTTTTCTTTAGGGGTCGTGCTATCCACGTCAGTGGATGGAGGCTGCTTTAATCCTACGGGTCTAGCCTTTTGGGTAGGGGCTGCCTGCATATCCCCTTCAGTCTGAGAATCCTTCCAAGGAAGGAAGTCCTCACCCCCCCCTGAACCCTGACTTGCTGGAGTTTCAGGTGTGTTCTCCGTGTCTGGATCTGGGGTTGGTGCCGGGGCACCAGCGATGTTATCATCGGGAGGTGGATTGGTACCGAAGTACCCTGCCGCTGGTTTAAGACCTAGCTGTCTATCAAAATCTCGGCGATTGCGCTTTTGCTGCTCCAGTTGGATGGCTAGTTCAACTTTTGACCATAACCACTTGATTGTGCGACGATGGCTATCTAGTCGGGCTTCCCTAGCTTTAATGACCTTCGGGGCCATTACATCATGGTGCTCAAGCTCGTCGATAAGATGGTTAAACAACGTTTGCGGTCGCGGCAAATCCTCTACGGGAATTGTTGACATTACGTAGATATAGGTGTCTCTAAAGGTAACTAGATCGGCTATAGTGTTACCGGGGACCTTCAGGGACAACAAATTCCTTTCGCCAAGCATGCCAAGGCGGTCACGCTCTAGCTGGAAATGTTTAAATATTCTACGCAACATCGCGCGCCCGCAGGGCATAGCCCCACTAGCAGCACGCTCAGATTCTAACATCTGATTGAAGAGGAGTCCAAACCTTCCGTGTTTGCAAGTTCCTAAGAGCTTGGATGCTACTTCGCGGTCAGTGCGAGGGTAGCGAGGGTCGGCTTGGAGTTGTTCCTCTGTTAAGGTTAGGCACTCTTGGGCCCACAAGTAAAGCTCATTACCAGGGGTCTTTTGGAGTTTGCCTATGGCCATTAACACCTGGTTCACGTAACCTGGGGCTTCACCTGCATTGACAGGAGGGTGAGGGAATACCAGGTCAGTCAGGGACTTAACCATTATGGTCTTCTCTTCCTGCCTCGCAAAGTCTACAGGTACCAGGGAGGAACTGTCTGATGACGACCCTGAACTTGAAGAGTCACCGGACCTACATGAACTTTTGTGGTGATAATATGATGGCATTGAGTGTTGGGCACCTCGTTGGGCAAGGTGCAATGGCAATGGTGGCACAACCGGAGGAAGCACCTGCTGCGGGAATAACTCACTTCCTGTGGCTCGACAAGTCGAATTACCACATGGTGTACCCGCATGGCTCGCATGACTAAGACCTATTCCTAGTGGCGCGCCAGAGGCAGCGCCCTCTGCAAGTGATGCTGGGGGCGCACAGGCTGGTGCTATTGCTTGGTGTGCTTTTGCCAAGGTTGGGTTCGAACCACTTACAGCATGTGCACAAGGCACAACAGCATTAGATGCTGTAGGCAAGTTAGCTGAAAGACTAGGTCTTACTGAAGCCACTTCCTGTAGCTGGGGGTTCGCCCTAGATTGTAATTGTTGTTGCATCTGTTGAAGCTGCTGCTGTTGCAATTGCAATGCATTTGACAACCTTAACACCTCAGCTTGGAGTTGTTGAACCAAGACTGACTCTGAAGTGCTAGACCCACTTGCAGCTAATGCACTAGGCACCATAACATTTAATGTTATGGGCAAGCTAGACACTGGGACTAACTCTGCGGGCTGGGGGTTCGCCACTACAGGGACGGGTGAGACACCCGAATGGTGTAAAGACTGGGGCAAGGATGCTACAGCATTTTGTGCGGCTACATTAGATGATTGAATGTGGTTCTCTCCTGGTTGCGCAGGAAAGCCACCACCAGGGACTTTGGGGGTAACCCTACCAGTCGCCTCTACGACAGTTGGGACAGCAACCACTTGCAAAGTGCCTGATGTATTTTGAGAGTTAGTTTGGCTTCCTCCTGGTTGCGCAGGATGGCCACTAATGGAATCCGGGGAGACTAGTGCAACATGGTGTCGCTGCTGGGTTGCAGCCAGCTGATGTTCATTGGGAAACATCCTAGAATCCCTTTCGGTTATTCCAAAATCCCTACCAGAGACTTTGGGGGTAACCCGACCAGTCGCCTCTACGACAGTTGGGACAACAACCACC